GCCCTAAAACTTTCTAATGTAACCTGTAACCTGCCCTGCCCTGCCCTGCTAATTTTAAAATAGAGGAATATCCAAAATTTCCTATCAGTATTTATAGTACATTTAATTGTGTGTACTTCAAGTTTGAATTGGATAAAAATAACGCTTAATTTCTTCAAGATTACGAATAGAAAAATATCGAATAAACAAAACTAGCTGCAATCTATCATAGCCGATCATTTCTTATATTATGAGTGCTTTAGTCTCGGTAAATTCATCTTTCTTCATGCCTAATTTTTTTAAAAGATACCGGAAATGTCGGTTGTTCAAAATTAATCTCAGGTTAACAGGTTACGATATGGACAACCTATAACCTGCCCAGTAAAAATTTCATAACCTGGCCCTGCCCTGCCCTGCTATTTTCGCAGCCTGCCCTGTCCTGTCGTGTCAGGGCAGGGCAGGGCAGGGCAGGTTACTTGCATCCTGCAGAGCTCTATCCCCCACACCGACACTCGCATCTCTCGCGCGAGATGCGGCATCTCCCGCAGGAGATGTGGTGGCATCTCCAAAATCTTGGATATGTGACACTGCTGACAATTTGTTTCGTTTGAAAAATGTTTGGCAATCAAGAATGTCTATTTAATATTTATTACATTGAAAATTTAATTCGGTCTTGAACTTATAAGCATCATATAAAAAATACTGATGTATAGTTTCTATCATCATCTTTCATGAATAGATCATCAAAATAAAATAAGTTAAGATATCTTATAAAATGTCACCTGTCTTTTTGAAATAAAAAAAATAATTTACTTTTTTTTTTCTAGGTGGAGGTCTATTTGGATTTATTACAAAACCAAAAACATCATCACAAAGAGCTTTAATGATTCTTATTGGTTTTATTTTACAAATAATTTATTATTATTCTGTATTTGTTAATTTTCCATCAGATGCAACATCTCGTGAAACAATTGCAAAACCATATTTTGATTTTAGGTAAAATAATAATATTATAAATTTATTAAAAAGAAGTCTTTCATTTATTTTTCAGTTCTAAAACAAGTCAAATTATTGCATTTATAAGTTCATTTATTGTTGGTCTTGGTGATAGTAGTTTAAATACTCAAGTAAGTTTTTTAAACGAAAAAAAAAAAAACAAAAATTTTCAATAATCTTACATTGATTTTTATAGTTAATGAATGTATTAGTTACACGATATAAACAATGTACGGCTTCAGCTTTTGCAATATTTAAACTTGTTCAGGTAAATATATACAATTAGATTTTTTTTTCTTTCTATTATCATTTTCTTGGATCTTCTTCTTTTTTTTTAGTCTTTAATGGCTGCTGTTGCATTTTTTTATGCTGGCTCAATTTCAATTGAATGGCAATTATTGGTAGTTGTTATATTTTTATTTTTTGGTACATTGGCTTTCTTTTCAGTTTTATTTGATGAAACAGGAGGTGAATTCATAGCAACATCAGTAACTGTTACTCTACAAGATAATGAAAATGATAGTTATCAAAATTATTCATCATCCATTGCATAAAAACCATTCTGTTCTTTTTTTATATTTATTTAATTGATATGATAACTTTTGTTTTGTCTTTTTTCTGTATAATTGTTTATGTGATTTAATAAAAAAAAAAGTGCTTTAAGTACAAATATGATTAATGAGAAATAGAATTTATTCATTCATTCATTCGATTAATTTTCAAAGAAAATAATAAGTACGATTTCTTTTGAAATCGTACGAAGTTCAGATGGAATAAAAAATAAAAGTTTTTTATCATTTTTTTGTTTGTTTCTGATATACAGGGTGTAACAAAACCATTACGCTCCATTCTACAACTTAAATTATAAATGATATCACAAAGTATTTTATATCAAATTAATTCTCGTCAAAAACTGAATTTATGAGTGTAATTATTGAAATGTCTTGAATAACATGCCAAAATGCACTTGTATTTCACGATTTTCATTCTTCATATGCATGTTGTCACAAAAAATAATAGTCGATACAAAAATCTCCATCAAAAACTGAACCCGAAGACATGATATTTGTATATTTTTGAGAAAAAAATGCTTTTTTTTTAACTGACTCAATGAGAAATAGATTTGATCCTCTCAAAGCTATTGAAGGAGGTCATGCAAATTTCTGAAATTTTTTCATAAACGTACATTTGTAAGAAGTTTATATTTCTAATAAATTAGAAACTCTATCATTTACAATTCAAGCTGGCGATAGGGCATGATAATTCTTTTAGAAACCTGATATTACAAAATCTATAGCATTTTCATGTTCAAACAGGCTCGTATATTGCACTTTTTTCATGTGCTTGACATGTACAAATCTCAAGATGCATTCATATCACATGACTTTCTTTTCATAAGACAGGCAGTTGAATGCTTGCATAAGTTATGTTTGCATTCAAAGAAGCTCATGTACCGAACTCATGAAAACCACACCCAACCTGTTACAGGCTTTGTTATTCAAGCTGTCAATTTTTATGATGAATCAAATCATTTTAAATGTAAAACTGAAGAATAGAAAACGAAAATTACGTATAACATTCAGTTAAAATTAATTTCTCACATCACAAATATCGTTTTCATAGTTTTGATCCAATATAGTATTACAATCACTAGGTCACTATGAAAGCGAACTTTTATTGTTGGTTTGTGCAAATCATAATGTTTTTCATAAAGTATTTTATTTGTGATCGTTCTTACCAGGGCTGCCATATGTACCCCATTTGGGGGTACAGTACCCCATTTGGGCATTTTGTACCCCCAAAAAATTTGTACCCCTGGGGTACATATTTTGCACCCCATTTGGATTTTTGAGCTTCGGCCTTCATGAACTGACCTCTGGTCAAAGTGAATCATGTTTTTCGAAAGAATTTATTGTTTTGTTTATCGAGTTATTTGCAATGGCCGATATTAATATGAAGGATCGACTAATGATTATTGGCATGCATTGTATCCTATTAGTTTTATCTTAGGTTTCTCGGTTTCAGAATCAAAATAAAGTTAGCTACGGATATCTGACAAATCTGAGCTGTATGAGTCGAAAGAACCGAATCATGAAAACTGCTGCATACCACATTCACGAACT